TAGTTAAATAGGGACATGGTTGGTATAAGCAGTATAGTGCTTGCTGATTGCCTGAAAGACTTTCGCTTATGTTTATCCTTACGCTTATGCCAACCAAGTCTTAACTAGACAGTATAAGCATAAAAAGAAGGAAACGTTTTGATAATCTTATGCATATATGCTTATCCTTATGTCCGTGCGTTCCATCCAGCGTATAAGCTTTTACATGCCTATCCCTATGCTTGCATCGCAAGTAAATACTGAGCTCAATATTGGAACAATAGTTTTATGATAAACAAAACAGCACCCTTTTGAACTTTCATTCCACAAACCTTTACTGTAAAATCTGGAACAGTGACTGTCTTGCACCAAATCCTAATCAGGCCATATTTTCTGTCTTTGAGGCCTAATTTAGTTTCACATCATATTCCTCATAATGCTCATTTACCAGTCTAACGATTCATACCTTAGTATGGAAATCAAACACCCATTTCTATTGACGACACAAATTACATTGGCTTATCCAATTCACGAGTTGGCTCACAGAGCCTTTGATTATTGTGGATATCTATTTTTAGTATCTATCTTTTAAAGCTGACATCTGAGAAGAATCAATAACACGCTGATAATAATTTTCACATTATAGGCAAACCCTACAGCTGTTTATGATCAAATTTAAGTTGATCAAAAAAAAAAACATGAAGGGCGTTGAGGAATTTAACTAGCTTAATACGACTGAATTAAACATTCCAAACGAAATACTTTGGAGAATACATACAGTCTGAAACGTGAATTTTTGCTTTATGAACTGAGTTGATAATGTAAATTGGCCAACGTAAATAGTTTCAAAGGTGAAGTTTCGAGCGTTAGCCCTTTGCTCGTTGGAGAAAACTCAGATAAGACTCAACTTAGCTCCTGTCCTTCCTCGGCTCCATCGTAGTTCGTATTCTCTTTGTAGTCTGTTTACTTGAGCTCTTTGTCATTCCTTCTTAAGTTACTCTTCGTCAGATATTCACCCTTCTGCATGAGCTTTTAATTATGTCCACTTTCGCGTTCCTCTCGCCATGTTCCTACCTATCTTTGTCGTGTCGTTTCTCGATCCCTTTCGCGTTTTCCGGACTCGCTCGCGACTGTTACTTCTTCTCTGTCTTTCCTGCCCATTTTCGCTCAACCCTTTTACCCAAACTTGAATTAAAATGATTTTTTTCAATTGACATAGCTTCTGCTATTAGTGTCGTCGCTTTTCAGGTACGTTAATTACATTTAGTATCGAGAGTCAATGAGACCTAATCAGCAAGATTTCCCGATAAAAACGCGGGTTGTAACCTCTTTTTTCTCGCGCGGCTTCACATCCCCTAGCCCACGTGAAGCCCTCGTCTAGAGCTTATGGCTGCGGTGCGCTGCACCGCAGTTAGGTAATTGTGTATGCGTACTTTATTCGTTTATATTTTACTTTTCTAGCACGCACGAATGGGATTTTCGAAGTTACGCACTCAGTAGCGCTTGCCTATTGTTTTCTGCCTTTCCTTTCTACCTACGAAATGGCTAAACCGCTCTAGCCCGCAATGGAGTTGGCCGCACATGCTAAAAGTAGCACCTTACACGTACAGTTGGACAGTCATAACCCGCCAAATTTTGGTCATACGACCAAATGTTGTCGGCTTGATAGGTTTCTGTTATTACTATTATTTTCTATAGTATGGGGCTACGAGCCTCGCTATTATCATTATAATTTATCTTAAATTGTTACCATGTACTCTTTCACATGACAAGTTAGGTTTGTCGAGTCAATGAAGTCACTTCCCATCACAGTCGCCTTCTTGCATGGCCGTTGGCGCTTATCACAGAGACCACCACCCTGTAACCTTAAATTCGGCAAATAGGGTTTTAAAATAAATATCACCCGCACACATGGTTATAAGCGCTTCTTTCGCTAATGGAGACAAGTATCACGTTTTCAGACAGTGCTAAAACAAAACTATCCGATTGGTGACTGTTGGTGACAATAGTAATGATAGCTTTATCGTTAGCTATGTAAACACATTTTCGCTATACATCATTAAAAGATGAGTCACTCAAAAAATTTTAAGGATACCAGTGCCAAGAAACATCGAGGGAACGTAAATTGTAAGGAAGCCGCATTGCACCAATATTAGCTGGAAGAATGTTGCATTAATCTGTCCGAATTTTGGTGGAGCTAATCCACACACTTTAAGAAAAATGGCATAAAGATTATTGTAACAATATTGCGCTTATTCCATAGTTTTGAAGCCATACAGAAGAAGTGCCTGAAAACAGAGTGGTACTTACATAGATATAAATGGTGCGTTTCCGAGTGACATTGCGCAATCCTTCGCGGTAAATCCCTCATTACAGATGCAGGAGCCATTGACACATTTGCCATTTAACGTGCAATCATTCGGACACATTAGCTGAGCAATGTTAGACAAGATGGAAGAACTCGAGTTGCCTTGTTTATGATCGTTACTCTCATTAGAATACGATGAAAGGTTTCTGGCAGCAATTTGACCACAATCATTCATAAGTACTGATATTGCAGAAATCGCAAACGTTGGGTCACCAGTCGCCTGAAAACAAAGAATCTCACGGAGTTGGTGGAGAAATAATCTCCATAGAGCCCATTAATTCCTTGTGGAAATGATTTTTTCTTGTCTAATTGATACTACTTAATTTGCAATCAATATTATTTAACGCCATTACCGTGAAAATATCACAACCTATAATTAGAAAGCCTAGGTTAATTGAAAAATCCGTCTTCATTGGCCTTGTCATAGTAAAAGTTCTCAGATAAGAATATTCATTGCAAACAGTTTTCAGATCTATTGGACAACAAGCTAATGGATACCGAACCAGACAGTTATCCCCATGTTCAGGCCTAACTCTACTTACTTCTAAGGGCTCGCTTCATCTATATCTGAGACCGAGAGAAACACAGGTAAAGAAGAAAGAAAGAAAGACAGGGGAAAAGAAAGAGAGTAAAAATGAAAAAAAAAGAAAAAGAAGAAGAGACAGAGACAGAGACAGAGAGAAAGAGCAAAAGAAAAAAGAGAAAAAGAGAAGAAATGAAAGGGAGAAAGAGAGAAAGAAAAAAAGGAAGAAAAAAGAGGAAAAAGGAGAGAGAAAGAAAAGAAGGGAAAAAATTTCAGAAAAAAAAAAAGAAGGAAGGATGGGAGAGAGAAACCAAAAGAAAAGAAAAGCTTTACCTCTAAGTCGATGGAACAGGAAGTAACAATTTCCGCGACATTTACTCCAAGTGTAGCACATAAGTTACCAATGTCTGTTTTAGAGACCTTTTGCATACAGTAGTCCGTTGCATTTTTCCTTATAAAGTTACGCTTGGTTGACAATGCACGTTTGTGTCTATGTGATTTGTTTGATCCAACAAACCCCTTGAATAGCGCATAGTCTTCGTCCGTGAGATCGTCTGAGATATGTGTGTCCCTTTTTTTCCTGTTAGAGTTTCCTGTGGACAGTATCACTCTCCCACTTTTATCCATAACATTGGGAAAGTACACTGGAAGCTGTTGAATACAATCTGAATCATCATTCTGGTCTTTTCTCCCCCCACATGGGCAAGGAATCTCGTATTCCACAGCAATGTCATTAACTGGATCCGGTAGTCTGTTGAAGTAGCTTTGAGATGGTTCCAATCTGTTAAATTAATGAAAAGGGTCTTGTTCGTTACTGGCCTAGATGCAGTTGAGCTGATCGATCTAGTAGATGCAGAACTGAGTGAGGTTACAATTCTGAGCATAAGCAAAGAGGAGGCCTTGTCAAAGTCGTCATGTAGTAACAAGAACATTTGTAAATCAAGAATCATAAAACGCAAGTAAGCCTTTGAGGCCTTGTTACGTGGAACGTCACTAACTCCAAATTACTGAAATTAAGATTGAGAAGTGTTCTAGATTATTGTCACATTGCGTTTCTTGCTCCCTCAGTTGTGAATTTGACCTTCAGGAAAATTCATGGACATACTGCCCTTTCGATTCATAGCTCCTAGGTCCTCGGTGCAAAATAACAAACAAACAAAAATGGGAACTTTCGTTTGGTTGGCACGCACTCCTTCACAACAGTTTAAAACTTTGGCCGTAATTGTATCAGTCGTCTGAATACTATAGGAAAATCCCGATATCGCACTCATCGCTTCGTGATTCGTGCGATATCGGTTTTCAAGTGCAATTTAACGCGGAATTCACGAGTCAGGAAATGAACTTTCCTTGAATCGCATCATTGAATAAAAATAAGAAAATAAGAAAAAAGCAATAATATTGTTTGTTTTTGTCCCGAGCGCTAGCTCCAGAAAGCCATCTTGAAGTCAACTGTACATGTTAGAACTGTTTATCGCGTTAGCGAATAGGAAGCAAGGTCAGTCGTAAACGTTTGAACCTACGAAATCTTTATTTGAAACTCGTGCTTGTTTTTAATAATCGTTTTCCAACGTTTTAAACAAGCTTCACTATCCAAGGGTAATGGTGGTGTTTCACTGAATTTACAAGCCGTTCATTTTTAACATCTCTTTTTCAAATTTCCAAATAATTTGCTCGAGAAAGAAAGATAATTCACATCTTTAACCTCTTTGGTGGCTAAACTGAAAGAAATGAAGTGTGCAAGCGAAAGCGCTGAAAGTTTAACATCGCGATTAATACAAAGTACGTTGAAGTGTAAATACGCGCATTGATCGATATTTTTTTACTCCTTTCAAAAACAAAGAAGTGTTTCATGAAAATTCCAAAAACTCTTATATTTTTATTTGTAGAAATTCACTCCAGGCAACTGCCATAAGCTGAATCGTCGGGATGAACATTCGGGTGGACTGCCGCTGGCGTTGGCAGCTGTGACAGTCGTAGTGGTACTCGATGAAAACCCAGCCAACTTGCTTGACACTCTTCGTTGTTTTTTCTAAAAGATTATGGCTGCAGGTGGATATTGAACCCGGGTTGGCGTGACCTGTTAGCTCGGAGATGGTCTTTTTCTGGGCCTTGTTCACAAGATATTCTCGCTTTCGCGTTGTCGCGAGCGAAAGAGGTTTTTCATGCATCTCTCCAATAGTTTAAAGTTGAGTTCAAAATAAGGAAGAACCTCAGGTTCACTTTGAAAAACCATTTTTTTTTTTGTTAAACACAACGAATATATGAAATACATGTATCTGAACTGCGGTTATGAAACGTATATAAGCACGATCCTCGCAGTAAAGCACTATTTAAGCAATAGTGAAAACCAGGCCTGAAAAAATTCAGGGCTGTACGGGATTAGAACCACGGACCTCTGCGATACAAGTGCAGCGCTCTACCAATTGAGCTAACAAGCCAACTGGGAGGAGGTCATCAAATTAATTCGACATAAACCCGTAAGATGATAAATCAAACACAACGAATATATAAAATACATATATCTGAACTGCGGTTATGAAACGTATGTGTGCACGATCCTCGCAGTGAAGCACTATTTAAGCAACAGTGAAAATCAGGCCTGAAAAAATTTACTATTTAAACAATAGAGTGTTTCTGCCAAGGAACTATCGGCTGATAGTTGCCCCGCGAAAATTTAATGTTCTTAAAACAAATATTTCCACGAGAAGCGAAGTCTTAAGAACATCAAAATTTCAAGTTGGCTTGTTAGCTCAATTGGTAGAGCACTGCCCTAGTATCGCAGAAGTCAGTGGTTCGAATCCCGTACAGGCCTAAATTTTTTCAGGCCTGATTTTCACTATTGCTTAAATAGTGCTTTACTGCGAGGATCGTGCACATATACGTTTTTTCGTTTTTGCTTTTGGCTATTTAAAAGGTGGTAATGGTTTTGAAAATATTTTAAATGGACTTAGTAACAAAACTTTGTAACAATTTGACGATAGTTGTTATGCTTACGTACTCGTTTTCAACTCGCAATTCCAAGCAAAATACCTCGCTTCCGTAAACAACCAGAAGGCGAGATTGTATTCAATGATGTAATTCTAAAAAAAAATTTTCCATCAATTCTTGGCAAAGGAAAATTCACTACAATCACTAGGAAACATTTTTGCTCTAATGAATGAGGGGGCAAATCTCTAAAGAATCTGTGGTGCTGCGTCGGTGGGCCGGGGAGTATGACAAGGTAATTCAATTTTGTTTGATCAACTGATATGATAATGTAAATACGCCAACGTAAAGAATTTCAAACTTTTAATTTATATTATCAATTTAGTTGATAAAACAAAAATTGCCATTTTTTCTACTCTCAGTTGGCATACAGTGTAAGTGTAGTTCCTTCTTTACGCTCAGATGCAATTAAGCGGATTGAACTTTTACATGATGCGTACTGTATACAGTAATCAGATAGAATGAAATATATGAAGTTCATATATTTTGAACTGCGGTATTAGATACGTATGATGCACGATCCTCGCAGTAGATAGCGCTATTTAAGCAATAGCGAAAATCAGACCTGAAAAAAATCAGGCCTGTACGGGATTCGAACCACTGACCTCTGCGCTATCTACTGCTAGGATCGTGCATCATACGTATCTAATACCGCAGTTCAAAATTTATGAACTTCATATATTTCATTCTATCTGATTTATCACTTTCACGGGTTTATTACGAATCAACTTAACGGCCTGCTCCCAGTTGGCTTGTTAGCTCAATTGGTAGAGCGCTGCACTAGTATCGCAGAGGTCAGTGGTTCGAATCCCGTACAGGCCTGATTTTTTTCAGGTCTAATTTTCGCTATTGCTTAAATAGCGCTATCTACTGCGAGGATTGTGCATCATAAGTGTATACAGTAATGTAACATACATACAGAAATCACTCGCGGGAACGACTGAAACTTCGCTAGCCCTTTTCTGACCCCTTTCAAACTGAAGTGGAAGGATCATGAAATAGAAACTCGCTGAAAAAACCAGATTTGCAAACTCTTACTCTTAAATTAAACTTAAACGCCGAAACAGAAACACGATTCCCCTTATGTCTATTTTTCCCTACGAGTAATACCAAATGCATCGAAACTTTGCTATCTGCCTTCAGGAAAAAAGAAAGGAAATAGATATGTTTTGTGATGACATATTCGAAGAAGAGGAATTACTCCTGACCAAACCTAAGTAGTTCCTGGTGCTGTCGTCCGTATAACGCCAGCACGTGGGTTTGTACCGTCAGCTAAGTTAAACGATTTGTTGCATTATTACACCGTCAAGATTAGCCTAAATGTATAAATTTATAAGCTTATGCGTGAAAGAGATAACAAGGTTATTCTTGTTTCAATTCTTTGGAAAAAAAAGGTACCAAACACTTCTCTTCAACGAATTGAAAAGATCAGAAACTGCGATCTGGAGAAAATCATGATTCTGTTCCATACATTGGAAATTTAATTGAAAGCTTTTGAAAGTACCCTTTCCTCGCCACAAGATTATGTAGGAACTGGGAAAGGGGGGGGGTAGGCTAGGGGGGCAGCTGACCATGCTTTGTAAATAGTACCAATAGGACCATCACTTTTAAAAAAAAACACTTGTGGTCAATTGGTTGCTTACCTGAACTCCTTTCCAAAACTTATTACATCTGGCTCGTAATTATACAAATATAAACCGGTTTCGTTGGAAACATTTTTGGATCGAGGAACCGAAAGGATAACATTAAGCCCAAACCAATTTCGGTAGATCTCTACTTTCCCGCCTGAAGGGAACAAAACCTGCAATAAAGGAATATATAACGGAAGAGCAAAAATATATGAATCCACGAAACAGGAGCGATCCCTTGAGCCTCCTTATACGTTTTTGTTCGATCAGGCCTCACAAACGATGCATTTTTTAGGAATCTTGACTCACTGATGGTCAGGGTCACAAAACAAATGAAAGGAAGTATCCAATGCGTATACAGAAAAAATAAAGGACCTCGAATTCACTGCCTATCGTTTCATAGATTGCAAACCTAAGCTTTGTATCCATTCCAGGTAGAGGCAGGTACAATTAACCGCTGTGATAATATCTCGCTGAGCTGACAAATCATGAAGTAAAGCTCCGATACCTCATTAAATTATATAAATTAAATTATTTATTAACACAAGTTAAATTTCTATTGCAGAGTGTTACAGGAGAAAATAATGGATCATAAAATAAAGTCATGGATTTTGAACTAACCCGATACTCGCTGTTGAACCCTGAGATGGTTTGTATGATCGATATTCCAGGTGCCAATTTTTTTTTGCTGCGTACTCTAACTTGTATGGGAGTTGTATGATCAAAATAGAGGTTTTCATTGCAGCAGTTGAATTCAATCACATCATTGTGATCTCGAAGAACAGCCCCGCAGTTACAGGTGTCTGCGTTTTCCGAACAGACCCATTGCCTGGTATGTACCTATGTCCATCATTTAAAAAGAAAATCGTGTCTGTAAGAAATGTTGCATTCATCTCAGTGTTAAACTTTCTTATTATGTCCTCTTCCTTGAATTCGACTCCCCTTCAGAAAAAAGAGAGTTTATATGAAATGAGATGCATGAGAATTCATTGAGGAGGACAAATAATATATCCTACACTGCACCCCTTTCTACTCTTTCATCGAAGTACAAATTCAAAGAACAAACTCAGAATTAGATGACTTGGGACTTACTTTATATTTATTTATTATTTTTTTTTATACATCCACTTATCTTTTCAAGCATTATTTTCATTTGCCTTTTACCTCAAAGTTTCGTTCTGCATTGCGATAGAGGATGAAATCTCCGTGTCCCATAAAGGTGAAATAAGACCTTTAAGAAATATGAAGTGACAAAAAGTTTGTAAGCTCATTTTAAGTGAAAGAGTCCCTGACACCTCATTGATAAATTTGAAAGGAGTCTAAAGGCCAATATACAGAAGACATTCATATTCAAATGACGGAAATTTTTATTTTTTTAGTCTTTTTGTTTTTGTTTTTGTTTTTTTTTATCGTTAGAGACTCTTGCCCAGATGCAGTAGTTACTTTGCTATCATATGGGTTCATGAACGTATTTAAGTACCATTGGAATAACATCGGAACCAATAAAATCCCTTAAGCGGTCTTTCAGAAAAAATCGTTTCACGCAATTTATTTTCCCGATTGTTACCCAAGTTTTTCGCATGAAGAAAATAATGGCGTTCCGAGAAAAACGATAAAAACATGTGCTTTCGTAGAAGATTGTTGATAAAAAAAAAGGGTAAAGGAAAAGAAAAAGACAGAAATTAACACATATATAGCTAGGACTGGAGCCCCGTACCTCTCACAGGAGGGGAAAAATCAATCATTGCGAAGAGGATGCCAAGCTAAAATACATAACGGAGTTTGTTCAAATGGTAGTTTTAAGGAAAAAAAATTTTGAAAATTTTTGCACCCCTATACATTAATTAAATGCACATAAATACCCATCCCTAGTCCGCCACCATATCAGTTAGAAAAGATACAAAGAATTTGGCTAAATTATAGATTGCCACTGCAAATGTAAATCCAAAGTGGCCAATATCCACAAAAATTGAAGATTTTTTTTTAAACGAAAGTAGGATGTGGTCCACGAGACGAAGGCCGTAGATCTAGTTTGAAACTAAAACCTCACAATAACCAAATTACTTATCAAAACACACATACAAAAAGAAAAAAACAGTAATGAAACAACAATTGAGGAATTTTAAACGTTGACATTGTTATGGTCACTGAAAAAAAATAACAACTCACTTAAGGTTGAAATGCGTAGAAAAGAAACTGCAGGAAGGTGCTGACAAAGGAGAAAAGAAGATAAAGGGAACTAAAGAGCCAAAAAAGGGACTTCTGAAGAAGTAATTTCGAGCAAACGCCAACGAAATGGTAAAAGATAGCATTAAGTAATATAAATATCTGTAGCATTAATAAATTGTTCATCCTAGTTTTACTTCTCTAAATTGAAAGATTATTTAATACTCCCAATGAATATTTGAAAAATGTAAAATATTGGCACGAGAGAAATTGACGAAATGAATCAAATTATTTGTCGAATGTCTGATAATTACAGAGTATGGTAAAGTGCGTTAAATCTCCAGATCGCTTTTCTATTCGTTGCACTGGGAGAAAATTATCCGCATCCATTTAGTTTCACAGGAAAGTGGAGGTTTTCACAAAGGAAAATCATATCTCTCAGTGAAAGAAATATTTTGATTTGTTGTTTTTGTAATTATTAACCTCTAATAATTCACATTTTGGCCAAGCTTGAAATAAATCATTGAATTTTAACATTATCACCCCCTATCTGGCAAGACACTCTCTCGACACTATCAAAGTCTATTTTCAATACCGCGTGGTCCAATTTGTTTTTCAATATAATTAAAACAGTTATCATTTTGAACAAATTTCCCAACGATTACTGCAGATAAACACATGATATGTAATTTGATACTCACGAAAATGATTGGTAATGTGGATCCATATACGCTCCACAATAACCAATACTGTCTGATTCGTCTATCACAGACACCTCAGATAAAGAAATATGAAACAATTATGATAAAATATTAAAACCTTTTCAAGATTTGATTATCCTCGCTACGTGTTAATTCATAACTTTATGGAGAGTTATACCAAGTATAAATTTGCCGTGCCCGATAAAATCCTGTATAATGAGCAAAAACTTCAAGAATTTGATTAAAACAGAGTTTGAAACTTTTGTCATGAGTGCGATCGATTCATTATTATAAATAAGAAATGATAGATAAAAGACATAGAGAATGATACATGGGCGCGCGTAGATATGGAGTCTCCCCTCCAGTGTTCAACACGATATCTTACATGTGAGCTCAGCGAACGAGTGAAACATCGAGTTGAGCACGAGAAGAGAAATCCCATATCTACGCGCAACCATGTAGTATTTTATTTATCATAAAAATGGTAGGTCTTAACTGACAAGAAAAGTGGACTTCACTAACACATTTCCTCAAAACGTAAATGTGGCGGAAACATGAACCTCCATGTTTCCGTCACATTTAAGAAATGTGGAAACGTGGGAATTCGTCCTGTGTTAATTTCGTCTGCTCCCAAACAAACTTTGCGGGATTTACCTTTTGATATCCTCCTCCTTCCGGACATGTCTCAATATAAATCAACTACTCTCCTTATTTACCGATTAAAGTAGCAACCGTTGCAAAGGACAACATTAGTGAACCCTTTTCAAATTCCTTTTTTTGACTTGTGAGGGGTCCCAAAAAGTGAATAGCAGTAAAAGTTTATCAATTGGACTGGGGCTCTGCTTGCCTAAAATCAAATATTAGAAAATCCATCTCTCACTAATCTTGATTGGTTGATCTTTAAGTGAAATGTTGAAAGCTATAATTGTATCACGACTAACTTACCCAAATAGCAGGGAGGTCCCTTGCACTGTTCCAAAATTCGCTGTGTGTATTTTTGATTTGAGGATAGATCAATTTATCTGAATTGGAAGCACGAAAGCTCGTGCATTCGGTATGTAGACGAACTTTTTTCGATTCAAGGCCATCGAAGGTAATTTCACAGTCATCATTGTTCAGATAAATACCAGTTGGTAAAAAAAAACCAATGCTTAAGCTGCTTTTAAGAAAACCTTTCCTAACGGGTATTGTTGGTGTTATAGTAATGTAAGTTCCGTCGAGGGAACACTCCCTGGTAGTTAATCTAGTTGGTTCAACCTAGAAAAGATACAAATGTAAATATAAGGACAGTTTTCCAATGATAAAAGGCTTAAGGAAGATTGGAAATATGATGTTTGACACTCACTGACTTTTTTTCGCATGCAGTTTGACATTCAAGCAGGTGCACAAAATACCCTTTTCAAAGACTGCGTCTTTATTATTATCATTAATTACACGACTCGGGCAGTCAGAGGGCCAATAACTAAAATCAACCAATCAAAATGCTCTATTGCCGGTCCAATATTCTCTCAGTATTGAACTGGGCACTGTCCCGAATGGTCCCGAATGATACCGCACTTGTGTCCCTTTGAACTTCAGTCGTATAATAAATCTCTTATTAACCAAGCTTGCTCGGGACCGTACTGGAAGAATATCGGTCCTCGGTCTTTTTTGTACGGACCAATACGGCCCTCGCGCTTGGTTAATAAGATATATATATAGCAATTATCAGGGAATCTTCGTTGGAAGTCTGAGGCATAAAATTTGCCAAAAAAGCACCTAAATAAAAAAATAATAATATACAAACTGTTAATCAGGCTCATTAAAAAAGTGCAGTAGCGTTGTAATAAACAACGTATCGCCTATTTTTACATGTCAAATTTTGTTTCAATGAAATTGTGAAATTAATTTGAATAAGTCTTTCCTTTGCTATTCCTCTATAAGTAAATGCACCAGTTCTGAACCTGAAACTGAATGTATGCTTTACAAATTTAACATTGTCAATAAATCCGTGAAAACAGATCTTTTCTCTGCAGGGCTGAGATTTTAGGTCCGTTGACTGTCGAGGAGAGCGTTTATTTCTTGGAGTTCATTTTCATGTGGGAAATATATGTATGCCAGAATTTTATACGAACTTTTGATTACAAAACCGTCCTTACCAGTGAGTAGCGCTCTATAATGGAAACTTTATATGTGTTTTTAAATGTACAATTGTAAATCTCACTACGTATAGGCAACTTACAAATGCTGCTTGAGATTGGTTTATTCAACACACAAACAAAAATCAAAATTGCATCAAATCTGGGTTGTCCCAATTCCTATTTCTACAACAAAAGACGTAATATGTTGCTCTAACAGCTATATTTATCATTTTCTTGATTATGTAAAGTTGCTGCTTTTTGGCAATGCCTATGTCGTTCATCATGCCTAAGAAAGTAGAGCATTCATCTGAGAAAACGCCAAGGGAGCTCAAGGAGAGATTTACAAATTTCACACATCTGAAAGCTCTACTCATTTCGTTCACCAAGTTCCGATATTTTTCTTTTTTACGCACTGCATTGTTGTACAAGTTAGATTCGAAACCAACTGTTAATTCTAGAACATATAGGCACTTGGACTGGGTTAGGAAAAGAAGATCTGGGCGATAATTTTCACCAGTTATTATTGAGGGATTTAGAAAACCAGTAACATCTGCAGAGATTGAGGGGCTAACATTAATTACAGGTCGAAGGGACTTGGCAATGAAGTTAAGGATTGAGTCGTGTCTCCAGGTAAAGCGATCAAGACATTGTTGACAACCAGCGACAACATGATGGAGTGACTCAGGACTAAAGCAAAAGGAACAATCAGGACTTTGTGATAATCCCCATCTTACCAAATTCTTACGTGTAGAAAAAGGATCTTCAACAAAAAAGACGGAATCTTCCCTTCGTTTTCCATGAACGAGTGCTTTGATTACTTTACAAGAACTCTTTAGTCAGTAAATCCGACTAAAGTTTTCAATCTTCCAAGCTGGATACCTACTTTGTCAGAACCCATAATTCCGTTTAACCTTGAACCTCCAACATATCAACAGATCTCAAATGTGATAAGAAAAATGAGGGCGTCTGGTTCTCCTTGTCCCCTAGATCAACTGTCAATAATTTGTTTCAAACGATAATGATAATAGTAATAATAATAATCAACTTTGTAGAAAGATCTTTTCTGTCTTTGTCACGAGCGTGGGAGAAAGAAAAAATTCTGAGTCCCCATGAGGAATCAAACCTCAAACCTTCCGATTCCGCGCTCCGATGCTCTACCACTGAGCCACAGAGACTCTAAGATGAGTTAGGCCCTTTACGAAGTTCATATTTGTCCCACACTCGTGACAAAGACAGAAAATATCTTTCTATATTTCTTCACCGAGCTCCAAACTTACCATCTTTCTTATTCTTTACAATAATCAACTTTATTTAACGAGGGTTACACAAAGCAGTAGATATAATGAAAGAACCAATGGCCCTCAATAAAAAGTACAAATTAAAATACTAATAGCACTACATGAAAGCATTACAGCCTGACTATTTGAGGAATTATCAAAATACAACTATAATATGAAATTTAAAATTTAAATTGTCTAGTATTTTAAAAATTGAGCAAAGATCAGGCCAGTTAATAAAATATAACATTTAAAACTACATGAAAAAATGATCTATGTCTTTATAACTATTCACAAACTGTTCTGACATGGATTTTACGAAGCCTATAAGATTCTGTTTGTTTCTGATCTCGCAGGGGATCTTATTCCAGAGGCGGATAGTCGATACTGTAAAGGAGCTCCCTCTCTCTCACTCCCGTTTGAATCGGGGGCAGACAAGGTTTAATTGTCCATGTCTGCTCGTTCGTTTGATCATACTCAATAACAAACACTGCTTTTATTTTACCTTTATACCCGCAAAGAAGGGAAAGAGAGCAGACTTGGGTGTGCTCCAAATATTCATCGGCGATGTGGTATACCGCGCCGTCACGTTGCAGGATATCTTTTGGAGCAAAGAAAATGCAGGTAAGTATACTTTTAGGACACCTTGAAACTAACATAGTTTCCCTTCGACTTTATAACAATAACAATTACAATGAAACCGTTAACATGGAACATATGATGTGTATAACTTTTGAATGTGCTAACAAAATTAATGTAGTTTTCATGTCCTCAGTTTTGACTTATCTTTCCATTATGACCTATTGACACTATAAAAGCGGATAGCATGGTAGGAAGAGAGAAAAGGCTAGAAGACGTACCCATCTATTTGGCTGATAATAGTTTTTACTGCCCTCGAGTCGAGAAAATAAGGGTTTTCCAGGGCATTCGGAATCATATTGAGTACTTCCAGGCTCTAATGGTCCACAAATGTCATCTGTGAGTATATGTTTTCCTTCCATGTACCAAGTGAACCGATATGAAACATTATGCCAGGACTTCATACTCGGATTGACTAAGTTGGCCTCACAGCGAAGGTTCACGGCGGGGTCTTCCCCTTGGGGTTCATAGACTATCTTTGGTTCCATGATCAGAGACATATTAAACTGAACTGGTTGATCTATCAAACAGAAACAAACAGGAAAATTTAATGAGATCATTTTAAACTGAACTGATGATCAACAGTACCAGATGCAAATTGCATCCATAGTTCCAACCTCTTTTTGATTACCGAGAATATTTACGTGCTCTACACCCACCTCTAATGCGATTGAATTGAACAAATTCAGCAATAATCGTTTGTACCCCTGTCCAATTGGACCCAGTGTTGTCTCGTCAAAGTTTTCGAGTTTCCTATAAAATTTATTTTACAATCTTTCTACCTATTACCTAATCCTAAGGATAAGTGATTTGACAAAAAGAAATACCAATCCGTTACAGAATCTATATAGAGTTTTTTAAAAGAATTCATGGACGGGCTACAAAATGTATCCTTTTTCTTCCGAAATTTTTTAAGCAAGGGTCTTTCACTGACATTCTCAAGCCAAAAGCAAAATGACTCCGATAAGAGAGCAGTCAAATTTTAAAAGAGCTCCAATGATTATATAAACATCGTAAAATCGTAATAACTAGTTGGAAGATCTACAGTGCAGCTGTAAATTGGTCCATTCATAAAAGTTTGGTTAGAATGTGTGCCTTCACTTTTTTATCTAAACGCAAGGTTCAATTTAAATCATTTCTTGCCTTCTACCTTTATTTCTCGAGACAAAAAAAAAACCCACTACAGATATTTCGTGTGAAATTAAAGAAAAAGGTGTTCATCTTTTTTTGCATAAATTATGTATCTTATATCCTGTGTAAGCTCAGCCTCCCACTTGTGGACTGACAACTAGTTGATCCAACCTTAGATAAGATATGCTCCACCAGCATTAATATCATCATAAAACATGACATTAAAGTTAAAACAACAGCCACTGATGAAATCTGAAATCCTGCAAACATACCAACACAGTTATCTGGCTCCCCGACTTTTCCATAAGGACAGGGTTCTTTAGTACCTGCAAGACAACGGGGAGAAACATGTCAAAATTGTTATTCACTTATTCATTCCTGCACAAAACCTGCCAAAATAATTGGATTGTACGTGTTTACCATGGAATAGGAAAAAAAATCTAATAACCTTCAAAAGCGGCCTTTTTTCCAATGTTTAGCGGCGCAAATTAACCAAGCCAAAAATAGCAATCTAGATGTATCCTAGCATTTGGATGGAAATAAAAATTTTGTAGTTTTTCTTCAAAATCCAACCATAATGCCTCCTTAAGTCAAAACTACAAAAACTACACCAAATCTGAACCAAGTGTGAGCAGCAAAAAGAATAAACAACCTTGTTTGCTACTAATTCTAGCATTGTGTACAGAGTAGTTATTAGAAGTGTCTTACCAGCACAGTAGGCAATAGCACACGAGTACGTGGGCCTCAGGTAGTAGACGTAGAATGAGCTGCAGTTCCTGACCTTTGTAGTAAACGATTGCGTACAACCATAGTTTATACCAAAAATGTTTATGCATGCTTTACGGTTCACCGTTTCGTCTTGCTCTGAGGGATTCTCTCCTTTTATCCAAACTGGAGCTAACGTGCCACAGCGATTTGGACTGACAACGGAGGTAGGCATCTCACCACCCGTAAAACTTGTAAAGCGGTACCAACCCCAAGGCAGATGTATATCGCACAGTGCTTTTTGTCCCTTTTTCCATATACTTCTAATGCTGCGGCGAGGTTCATCAATCTTTTTATAATTACGTTCATCACAACAATTACTGCAATCAGATTGAGCAACTGATCCCTCAAACATGACATGCAGGAGCACATATGAGAAAAACAAGCTGGTAAAATACATTTACAAGCCAGAATATTGAACATCGGTTCTGACAATGTCGCTCTACTTCGTGATCCTTCGTTACGGTCCGTTACTGAGATATTCATAAAATGATCCTTCATAGTTGCTCAGACGAACAAATGATTTGATTGGTTGAACTTTACGTAAATTCTAAAAGTAACCTATCATGTCTCATGCATTCGGGAAGATCTGTGTCACCTGATCATAATATATAGCGCTCTTTCAATTTACCAGGCGGTGCATTTTGATAATGCATAATCTAAAAATCAGTCGGACAGGCTATGTGTTGATACTGAACAGTTACTGATTTGAAGCTCGTTTTTTCCCCAATGTTCCGTAATTATAGAAAATGACTACGTTGCCGATTGTGTTTGCCCACTTTGACTTCGTATTAGCTGTCTTCAGCAGTACCGTCAAAACACTTGACGCCTACTAAGTATATTCTAAAATCAACAACAGCTATGACACGTAACTCATTTCCATTTCAATTGTTCTTTGAAAACGAAATACCAGTAGGAATGCTTTCATGGAACTTTTTTCAAATGATACGTCGGTTTTACATAGCTCAAATTCTCATGTCATATAAATTTTCACCTCATTGAAGAGGAGTAGCGTTTAATCTGAAACATCGTTCACTAATGCGTATCTCAAACAACAGCCAGGAGCTGTCATTTCTTATCAAAACCTAAACTTAGTTCTAGTGGCTAACTGTTAGCTTTACAACAGATAGGAGCACAGCCGAGGATGCTTTGAAAGAAGAGAAACAGTTTCGAATTTTCATGTCTTCTCTAAATTACGTGAAGAGATCACGTGGTTAGGTGTTTACCAAATTTGCAATGTTTTCAAACTCTATAATGTCAAAAATCCGGGTTTGAATGTTTCAAGGACTTGAGTGGTATAGGAATTACAAAGTGGTCACGTACTAGAACGCCAACTCTTCATACTAATTTCCATATCAGGGAAATAACTTAACGAAACCATATTATGGAATTCAGTTTAATGGAATAATCTGATGTATTTATTTAATAGAATCATTTGATGGAATCATTTTCTAATATCCAAGCAGATATTTGTTAATGGTATTGCCATCTGTGATGCTGATGATTAACTGGCTAATATTGAAAGAGGGCAAGAAATCTTGTGAGAAGATGATGGCTTTGGAGAAAAATAAAAAGAAGCTGTCGGAGTTGAAGAAACCCACCAACGACCATGAGAGAAAAGAAACTGTGAAATGTCTTACTATGCGACATTCGTGCAAGAAAAAAACCATGGAATCAAACATAACGTCTAACAGTCAGGACGTAGAAGAGGATGAAGAGTTGAATTGACTGTGTTCGTGACATTATATGATTTTGTTATTCAAGTTCGTATTAGGCAGTGTCCATAAGGAGAACTCAGTGCTGCACCATCTTCATGGATATAACGTTTATCATCAAAACACGATAACAATTGTCACGGTGCTTCCAAGCTCATAGATTCCGTATAGTTTTCATTTTATGATGCATTTGTATTTTATTTAACAATGAGTGCTCATAGCTTCCAAGTTGATGATTATTACTTCGGATAGTTTTCATTTATGATGCATTTGTTTTTTATTAATTCAACAGTGTGTTTTTATAGTCTTTATGTTTGATGTCTTTTTTTATGACGATTTTTTTTTATTCCTTTAAGTGTTCTATCACTTTTCTCATTATCTTTTATGTAAGAGTATATTTTTGATCTTAAACCAATGACTTCAATTATTGGTAAACAAGAAGCCTCACCTTTAATTTTTCCAGTCACCTTCCTAATAGTTTTGTCGAAATATGTTGAGTTTATTGGATGATCACTGTCATCAAATTCATCTTTATTATTATAGAAGTCTCTCAGAAGTTTCATATGTTAGACTATCTGTGTCAGGGAAAGGTAATCTTGCTTTGTTTTTATACTCCTTTTTTAATACAACTGTAATGGAAATCATACATTAGTATTATTCTAAGATCAAGAATACACAGCCCTACATATACCGGCGTTTTTAGAGTAATTGATTCTTTGATCGTAATGAACAGCTACTAAATTCTCATTGAAAACTTTTGACGACACATAAGTTGTATTCGAGCCACATTTTAATAATTTTTTTCATCAGTCACAAGTTTAACGTCTCCTCTTTTGCGAATATTTTGCACAGTTTTACCAAATACACTGTTATTTATAAGCTTAAAGAGGTCGTTTTCAATTAAATTTTTGGAATTGATACTCTTGTTTGCATTGAAATCTACAGCTGTATGTACTGATTTAACAATGCTGACAGACCCAGGATTGCAATACTCGAGGAAACATATTTAATTCTAATCCCAAATCAACATATAACTGCACGTTTCTGTAGCAATTAAAGCACGTACTTTACTTAGAGCTCATGAATTGAAAACTATCAAGGAACACAAGATGCTTACCTAACACGAAAGATATATTTTTTTCCATGTTTTTTGGCATTACATTTATGTCTATCTGTTTTTCTTCACCTTTTTGTGTTTGTATATGTATATTGCTTTTTAGTTCTCTCCCTGATCTCTTGCATAATGAAAGGGCTGTTATAGCCTCTCAAACTATGGAAGATAACAGGTATCTTAATTTCTTCAGCTTATAATCTAAAGTTGTTGATATTACAGGTACAATCTTGATGAGCCAATCCTCTATATTTTTTCGTTATGTGACAATGACCTCTCGCTCTAATATCTTTATCAACATATTTTTAATCACAAATATGCATATATCATCGTTCTTAAAGTTTTCTACATCTTCATCAGTCATTCTCAATAGTTTATAGAAAATTTCTTTCATTGTGTTTTTACATGATTTCACTTCGGCATGTTCCTCAACATACAACTTTGTATCCATATCCAGTCTTTAATATCCTGATTTGATTCAGTATATGATTTATCATCATTTGGTTTACATCCATGCATTTTTTTTCTCTAACAGCTTCAAAATCTGCATGGATGACAAATGGTACTTGTAATTTGTTATTTATCTATATTAATTGTTAAATTTTAATATATTTTTACCTTTTTAAGCACTTCAATGGCTTCAGCGCCATTAATTGGGATACAGTTAGTGTTATGCATGTTCAATACATCTTCAGAAGTGAAACGATACTGCAAACGATACAAACCGAAATGCTTCATAGTTTGATGTTTTGACTTATTATAAATGAATTTGTTGAAATCTTTGATAAGAATGTAAAGTTTGTTTGCACTCTCAGTCGGTTATAAGTAGAATGTTTGAGAGTATTTCTATACTGATTTAAATGTCTAATACCTATGACACCTGTACGGGAATTTCTTCCCGGCACTGATTCACGATCAAGTGAGGACTATATCTTTCTCCGTTTGAATGGTTTCTTTGAACGTGTTCACTCTGTTACAATCTGCTCTGTCTACTCTGTTCGTGCGTTAATTCAATCTAACTAAATCTCTCACAACAGTGCTTTATATTCTACGGAAACACAGTAATTTTTCGGTTAGCTTTGTAACTACGCAAACCCTGTTGTTAAATACTGGTTAAAATTCATCGTTTGTTCCCGAGGTTCTAAGTTCATAATCGCTAAATTTAAAAGTTTACACGCATTCTAAATGGGTGTGTCACGGGTCTAACGTGACGTAAAGGAAACAAATAAAAATGTGAAATAAGTGAAACACGAAATACAAAATTAGCTATAATAACAAAAATTAATGTCGGACAACACCATTTATTGTCTTCATTTTTGAGGTTCACCAGTCCTTTAGCGGAATTTCTTTTTTCTGATGGTAGTTGAATGTTACATGATCCTTTCAGTGGAATATTTTTAACAATTTTAATATAATTATTTTCAGAGCTTTCGGATATCCAACCAGTGATCTTGTTTTGAATCTCTTGGCTTCAATCTGACGAATTTAGATAAATATCACTTTCATTGATAACCATCATGGTTTTACTGCTGAAATAAGCTGATAAATGTTATAATATTTTGTTTACTGCTTTAGAAGAAGAAGTACAGAAATCTGGCCACGAAAGAGCGCCGGAAAGCAATTAAACAATTCTGGAAAACGAAATCGGAAAAGATCATGGAAAACCCCATGGACTTCTTCCACCTCTTAGTCTTTCATCAGCAACAAAGCTACTTAGACTAATCCTGTCAGTCTGGATATAGTGGAAATGTTATGAAGAATGTTGCTGCCGCTGTTGCCATTATTTTTGCGCATTACTTTGCTAATGTAGCGCGAAATATCGGAGGGCAACATGTACGTGATTTGCTTGAGGAGAATGACCAATATCACACCTGCAGCGGGTCTATAAATAGAAAAAATCACGATGCAGCCCTTGATTTGAACTTTAGATCAATTACTGAAACAGATTTGTCTGATGTCTTAAAAAAACTCAATCCTGGGAAAACACCTGATTGGGACTCCCCTACTGTACCTATCCTCCTTCAGAAAACTGCCTCCGCTATTGCTCCATCCTTGGGAGCCATATTCAACCATTGTATTGCAGATGGCTTCTGGCCTACGGGGTGGAAAATGAAGCAATAGACACCTCTGTAACGTTGCTAGGAAACGAGGCTAGTCTCGCCCCAGGACTTGGGGGAAGTAGAGCGGGAAAATCGGGTCGGGCATCTTGTGTTGATATAGTGTCGCCGCCGCTAATTGTATTAAAGGAGGCTTATTAAACGTTACACTGGTGGCAGCGGTGGGATTCTGGACGAAATGGCTTCGAGGGAAATGCTGGAGGACGTTATCGAGCGATTAACCAAGCAGTTGAAGCTGGCAAACGACAAACGAGGAATTTCGACAAACACAGATGAGCCTTGAAGCGTTGGAGAAAGAACACAAACGAGTCGTCCAGCAGCTCGGCCAACTCAAGGGAAGAGATTTCACACTAATCAGTGAGAGGGACGAAGCGAGGGAATCGGCGAAGAAAGCGTTGGAGAAGGTTTCTGAGATGGAAAGCAAACAGTTGCCTTTTAAGAGACAGTCGGCGAAATCGACTGTAGTGAAGCCCGAAAAATTTTCGGGTAGTAGAAACGACA